TTTTTCTAAGTTCCTTCTTATACTTTTGTTCCTCAGTGAGACAGGGGTAACTTGAAACGCTAAAATACGGGGCTCGATTCCCCACAGCAGATAGCCAAATGTGGCTTTGCTACGAAATAAACACACATACTCGTCTACTTTCTTTTTCTCTGCTTATTGGTTGTGATTATAAAATTATATCCTACAAAAAACAAAAAAAACCCGATTTTTCAATCTGTCCTATAACAACTGATTTTAAAAATATACTAAATTTATATGTCTACAGAACATTCAGGTAATCGAAAGGAAATGTCGAGACTAGCAAGTAGCAAACAGTGACACCTGGTGGAGGGCGAACACGTCTGTCTACTGAGCTATATTCAAAACGCTGGTCATTTCCAGTAAAGCTCTTTTCCTAGACTACGTCATGCATTTCCGTTCTTTATTCAACAGCCAGTCAGAGTAGCCAAATAATAAACGTCACTGTTATTCGTTCAATGGCCAATCAGAGGAGCCAGGCAACAATCATATTTGACAGTACCGGAAAACGAAAAACACGCAGAGTGCATTCGAAAACATTGGCTTTCATATTAAGGAAGTTACATATTACAATCTTTTTTTTTTTTTTTTGCTTGTTTGTTGTTTGACAGATTTATTTTAACACAGCGTGGCAGAATTATTTTAACACGACGCCTGAGAAGATCATCTAGCTTACATGTTATCAGTTATGTATCAGTTTTGGGGCGGACATTTTGACCATATTCTATAGACATGTACAGACATTCAGCTTATAGTGACCAACTTTTTGGTACACCCTGAACGATGCGGATATAGGAACTCAAATGTCCAACCAGGGGGCTCTTGGGGGAGGGGGGTTAATTGTGTTCTTAGACTTTAAGATAGGGCGTAATTTGAAAGAGGAAACTGTTAAACTACTGGAAATGTGACGTTATCGTCAAATTATGAACCATCAGAAGAATGATAACATTATCTAACTCTGTTCTGATGACCCGAAATGGAAAGTTTCAAAAGTCAACTTCGATGTAACCCTTCAGCGTCTTTCTATATCAGGTATTAATGAAGCAAAAGGTCCCTGGAGAGTTGTGTCAGTCCAAGGACACATCAGAAAGGTAATAAGCTACTGTGGGAGGTATATAGATAGCATTTATATGCATATAGATAGCATTTATAAGTAACAACAAATATTGTAAATTGACAGTTTATGTAATACAGAGGCTGAATGTTGGAGCCTCACTACGTCGTCACAGTTCTTGTCGTCACGTCCTATCATGCTATATCTGATGATCGTGCAATGACAATAAACCTGCAGCGTAGTTTCTAATGAAACAGTCTCAATTCTGAGTCTGTCTTCTTCAAAACACACTACCTTTCCTTGAATACTCTCCATAATCCATTTAATTTAGAAGACTTCAGTTTCTCAGCGCCCATTTCAACAGTTCAATTGCACATAAATCCATAGACGATTTGCTCCAAAACTGTTAATATTTTAACAGTGTAGGTTATATTACGTTAATGTAACACATCACTCTGTGAAACTTAACAAAAATTACTGTTAATTTGAAAGAGAAAGCCTAATTATTTTACAGACTGATGCAGTGATTCAACACTTCTATAAATTCAGTCTGTCACAAACAAAATAAAACATTTTTACTTTAGAACTGACTAGATGTCGAGTCAGATACAAATAAGTTATATAAAGACAAAGAATGCGTCACAGAGTCTTTTACAATAACAAAACAGCGAAATTTCAATCATATTAATATTTTAGCCTTGAACCGAAAAATTATTTCCGATTTTTTGTAAGTTTTTATGTTTAAAAAACTTGAACTAATATATAAAGAGTAAATTAGCTTTTCCTCAAACTTTAAATTCTTTAAATTTCTGTTGAATAATAAAAAAAAACAAAAAAAAAGAGTGTGCTGAATTCCGATTCTTTTTCCGGTTATGATTGGCTGAAAGTTCGGCCAATCATATAATACTTTATATGAAACTCATATATATATATATAAAAGTGAATGTTTCTAGCGAAACGAAATCCTTTGTATATAAACTCAGGAAGGCGTCTCCACTGAGACATACACACGATGTTTGACAGAAGTGTATTTTTAAACACTTGTTTTCAAATTCAACACTAGACAACGTTAACATTCGTCCAGTATAAATTATTGTTATTACCTGAACTATAACAAGTAACTATTTTACATACATCTAATTCTGCCCCCCCCCCCTCAGTGGTATGTCTGCGGACTTACACCGCTAGAAACCGGATTTCGATACCCGTGGTGGGATGAGCACGGATAGCCTATTGTGTAGCTTTGTGCTTAACTTCAAACAAACGAACAATAAAATTATATAGCTCAGTTTGGTGGTGGCGCCATCTAAGGACATAATAATACATTAAATGTTGTGTGTTAAATTCGTTGACAACATAACCGTGATCGCTCAAAAAAAAATCCTACTTTCTAATTAGTCTGTGTTTAATCAGAAGAATATTAATATAGGCTCTGTATAAAATAAATTACCCTAAGCCTTAAATCATTGTTATATGAGAGGAATACGAGAACTAATAGTCTCGTGTATTATTTTCTAATTTTCAGCCGCGGCATAGTGGCTCATAGAATGGCACTGAGTTTTTGTTTTCAACTACAAGCATGTAGCTTATAGTTCCATCTCTTAATCGATTTGAGATCTAATTTCAACCGCGGCTATTGAGTATTCCCTATTGCTTAAACTAATCTGCGGCATTTAAGAAAACATTCTAATGTCATTAGATTAAAATGCAAATAAAAATTACAATCACATTAACTAGCGTATTACTCAATAATTTCCCCCACTCTTTGCTTGCGCAGAGATAAGTCTGAGGACCTATAACGCTAATCCCTAATTCTGACGTGGTAAACATGGAGAAGGCAGCTAGTCCACACCACCTACCGACAACTCTTGGAATATTCATTTATCAACGAATAGTGGGATTGACCATCACATTATAATACGCTACGACTAAAAGGGCGAACATGTTCGGTAACGGGATTCGAACCCGCGGCCAAAAACGAATCATACGACGATTAAATCAAATGTGGGTTACAGCACTTCGTATATCCTATAATTTCCTGATCTTGTGCGCGTACAAGGGCAATTCTATTGAAAACTGTGACGTCAGAAGCGACCTGACATCACGAACTGACTAATCTCACTCTTCTGTATGGACTTTTATTATTAATTAATCTTTTCTTATCTGTGATGCATAAGATATTGCAACAAAGACTGTATTAGTAATTAGCATACGATAGTAGATTATCAGGGAGTTATACAGTTTTACAACACAGCCAGAATACCCAATAATTGTTTAATATGCTATTATCAGGGAGTTATACAGTTTTACAACACATTTTGTACCGTCTATAATCACAGGTAACATCCTTATCTTGTAGATTTCTACCGTCGATAATTACAGGTAACATCTTTATCTTGTAGATTTGTACCGTCGATAATCACAGGTAACATCCTTATCCTGTAGATTTGTACCGTCTATAATCATAGGTAACATCCTTATCTTGTAGATTTCCACCGTCGATAATTACAGGTAACATCTTTATCTTGTAGATTTGTACCGTCGATAATTACAGGTAACATCTTTGTCTTGTAGATTTGTACCGTCTATAAT